CAGGGATCCCAAGTTATAGCCTTTTATTTAAAAAAATGTTTTTTAAGTTTATTTATTTATTTTGAGAGGGAGCGTGTGCACATGTGTGAGCAGGGGAGGGGCAGAGACAGAAGAGAGAGAATCTCAAGCAGGCTTCATGCTGTCAGTGCAGAGCTTGATGCAGGGCTTGATCTCTTGAACCTGTGAGATCATGACCTGAGCTGAAATCAAGGTTCAGACACTTAACCAGCTGAACCACCCAGGCACTCTGAGTTGTAGCCTTTTCTAAGAAATCAATAATCTAGCAATTAAATGGTATTCCTGAGTTCTGTGATTCACTCTGGTTAATGATTGAATCTGAGGAGGCGTTGTGAGAACCTGCAATTTATAGAATGGTCTGTTAGAAGTCCAAGTGACAGCCTGGACTTGCATTTGGTGAAGTGGGGGAAGGGGACAGTCTTATGGGACTGAGCCCTTAACCTGTGGGATTTTACACGATTTCTACATAGATTGTATCAATTTTGAGTTAAATTGTAGAACATCCAGCTGGCATGAACCCTACACGTTTGGTGACTGGACTACAGAAGTGCAAATGTGGTAGGGGGGGAAAATCCCCTGTAAAAAGGCACCAGGCTCAAATAGTTTTATAGGCTTTGTTTATTTATTTATACCACACCTTCAAGGAATGAATAATCTCTGTGTTAATGCAAGAAAATAACGGCCTGAAGGAGAATTCTCAGTTTAGACTCAGAATAATTTCTACTCTGGAGGAGTGGATACTTTTTGCCCTTAAAATATACAGTTCACTGTGATTTTAGGAAGAAATTGTTCTCTGAATTAAGATACCAAAGGGGTTTAATTTAAGCACATGGCTTCCTTTAATCTTTTCAGTGAGTTAATATTAACAGAATCTTTTGTGTCATATTAACAGGTCTGTGTCCAGACTGGGAATCCTGGGATCCACGAAAGCCTGTGGACAATGCACGGGAAGCTATGCAGCAAGCAGATGACTGGCTGGGTGTCCCACAGGTATATGTACAAGCAACACCATGTCCCATGGGGCTATTTCCATCCTCCAGCTTGTTCTGAGACTCTGTGGATGCCTCTTTCAGTGTGGCAGGCAGTCTGACATCCTCAGCCTCAGCCCTCAGAGAGTATTGCCTATGACACTCTCCCCTCTTCCTCAGTTTACCCATAATAACAGGTTCTCATTGATTGAGGTGCTTGTAGATCATTCAAAAATCTTCACAGTGCTCTGTCACATGTGGCAACTTTTCTAGTGTTTCTGCTCCAAAGATCTCAAAGACTGTCTTGAGATACAAGACTGCAAATGTGGACTTTAATGATTAGGTTGAACTGTAAGAAATAGCCAATATTTGACCACTTTTTACATATTTTAGAAGTTTTTTTAAAGATCCAGTATCTTAGGGACAGTCACAGGACTTAGAAGTTTTTTTTAAAAATTTAAACCAGGATGACCTACCATTATTGGAAATTGTGGAAGAATTTGTATTGCTCCTAATCCTATCACAGGAATATGACAAGAGAACTTGGAAATTAAATAAATCTTGGATACCATTGACAGTAGCCACATTACATAGTTGAGGTCTTGTCTTCTAAGGTTTTTCAAGGAGGCTAAAAAACTCCCTCTGACATTTAAATACCAAGACTCCCATATTTGAAGCCCTGGTCAAGAGAACTTGTAGGTGGCCAGTGCCGTGGATGGATGACCTCACCACTGGTTACATTATGGACTAAGTAATCAGAGCCGAGTTCAGTGTATTTTGTAATAGGATCCCTTGGGAGATAGAAAATTTTGCCTGTATTTCTTTGGTTTTGACATCATGTCTCTGCTTCATGGCCCATTTCTTGGCTCTCCCACCCTCAGTAAGTGGTGTGGTATCTTTTTTATCTCCTCTAACCTAAAACCATCTCCTTTTGACGTACGTGTGATGTTGGCACTGTATAGTTGTTGAGGGAGCTGCCTGGAAGAAATGTCAAATCAATGCACATCCTACATTTTATGGAATGAGTGAAGGCAATTGTTCAAACCCAAGTAGCTGTTCTGTTGCTGGAGGATAATGATCAGTATGTTTTCTGGTGTGTGTGTGTGTGTGTGTGTGTGTGTGTGTATTGCTGGAGGATAATGATCAGTATGTTTTCTGGTGTGTGTGTGTGTGTGTGTGTGTGTGTGTGTGTGTGTGTGACTTTGGGGTGAGGGAAGCTGGGTATATATGTTATTCATCTGCATTTAGTTAACCCAGTTCATGAGACAGAGCCTTCTGTTGGTCTGAGGAGTACTGCCTTACCTTACCTCCTCAGCACCCTTACGGGGGGCAGAGAGATTTTTTGTACTGTTTAGGACTAGGTCAGGTAGTAGGCCTGAGGCTGTGATGCCTTCAAGGAGGCTACCTGCCGAGCATGGGTGTAATGTTGCTCCTAGGCTACATGTCAGGAGAAATTAACTTCCTCCCTATTTTTTTTAATGACTCTTAATGTATTGAAACCCATTGTCATCAGCTCAGGCCGCTCTAACAAAATACCATAGATTGGATGGTATAAACAACGGAAGTTTATTTCCTATATCTGGAGGCTAGAAGTCCAAGAGCAAGGTGCCAGCAGAGTCAGTTCTTGGTGGGGGCCCTCTTTGTGACTTGCAGACAACTGGCGTCTTGCTGTGCCCTCACATGGGAAAGAAAGAGAGGTCTGGTCTTTCCTTCTCTTAATAAGAGCATTAATCCCATCCTGGGGGCCCTATCCTCATGACCTCATCTAAACCCACTTACTTCCCTTGGGCCCCACCTCCTAATACCATTACCCGGGTGGTTAGGGCTTCAGCATGTAACAAGACCACAGATCTAATATGTTGCTGTGTTCTCTCTTTTTTTTTTTTATTACTATTTTTTATTGGTAGCAGAGTTAATAGAGATGCAGGCAATGGGTAGATGAGCAAAGGGAAAGGCCAGTTTATGTGCTTTTTGGTAATATGTGCAAATCCTGTGTATACTTGTTTCTTCTTCCTCCTCACTTGACATAGCTTACCCCTTCTGGAAAGTTTCCCCAGGGTAGGGGGTGAGCAGGCCTTTTTTGGAGGGTGGGTGTGCACCTCTGGAAATTACATATAGAATTGCCTGGAGGAGGGGCTCCTGGGTGGCTCAGTTGGTTAAGTGTCTGACTCTTTGATTTCAGCTCAGGTTATAATCTCATGAGCTATGGGTTCCACATTGGGCTTTGCACTGACAGCGCGGAGCCTGCTTGGGATTCTCTCTCTCTCCCTCTCTCTCTGCCCCTTCCCTGCTCGTGCACGTGTGCACGCATTCTCTCTCTCTCTCAAAATAAATAAACGTTAAAAAAATTGTCTGGGGGCGCCTGGGTGGCGCAGTCGGTTAAGCGTCCGACTTCAGCCAGGTCACGATCTCGCGGTCCGTGAGTTCGAGCCCCGCGTCAGGCTCTGGGCTGATGGCTCAGAGCCTGGAGCCTGTTTCCGATTCTGTGTCTCCCTCTCTCTCTGCCCCTCCCCCGTTCATGCTCTGTCTCTCTCTGTCCCAAAAATAAATAAACGTTGAAAAAAAAAAATTAAAAAAAAAAAAATTGTCTGGAGGGGGTCCTCAGCTTCCGAAACGAATAATGACACCTCTAAAAGGTTAAAAACACTGACATTGGCATGTAATTTGATATAATTTCACTTAATTTAGAGGCTGACTCAATTTCTTAATGTCTATAGTGTTTGACTTGAGACATTTGCAAAAACTTTAGCGGTTATAAGTGATGTACTCTGGGTGTTCACCTACCATGCTGTTATTCTAGGTCATCACTCCTGAAGAAATTATTCACCCCGATGTGGATGAGCACTCGGTGATGACTTACCTGTCCCAGTTTCCCAAAGCCAAGCTCAAGCCGGGGGCTCCTCTGAAGCCCAAACTCAACCCGAAGAAAGCCAGGGCCTATGGCCGAGGTAAGCACTGGTCTTGCTGGGTTTGAGACTTGTCCTCTGGTCTTAGACATGATTATGTGGCTTCAGGAAGAAGGTTCTTAGAATCAAGAATGTATAGGCTTGATCCTTGAAGACCTCCCAGGCCTCCTTTGTCAGATGCTTTTTACCTCAAGGTCCATTTGTTCACGAGCAACTTTTCTGCTTTGTGAATCTAGGCTTTAAGAAATGCTGCTGCTGTAATGTGATGGAGAATGAGTTTATTGCATTGTGATTTTAGTGCAGTAATCGTGGGATGAAGACAGGACTATTTTCCCATTTTTCATATGAGAAATCAGAGAGGCCTGATCCACTGGGGATAGGGGGTGCAGGTGCCTGTGTCATCAGGCTGCTGATTCATTTCTCCTTTGGTCATGCTCATGCTGCTTCAGATTTCCACATGGGGAGGGAGCTCTTGTGACCCCCTGACAGACACTTCCTTGCTGAGACATCCTGTTTATGATCACTGAGGCCACTGCGGGCTGCAGGACAGTGTTCTGCTCAGAATGTTATGGTGGGGTAAAGGCATGTTGAGGCATTTGGTGTTCTGGCTGCCATCTGACTTCAAGCACACCAGCTTTTTAAGAACTGTTGTGTTTCAGCCCAGGGTGGTTTCTGGTAAAGATTAGCCCCGTGAGCTACAACTTACTCCCTTTGTTATGGGGAAAGGAAGGAGTGCATTATATTTCTTAATTTTCGTAATTACAGTTGGGATCACATTTAGAGGCACAAGATATCTTGTATATCGTCTCCTAGAATCTGCAGTTCTAACCATTCTAACAATAGTTTTCTTGAGTCCTGTGTGGGTGTGTGTGTGTGTGTGTGTGTGTGTGTGTGTGTGGTTGTCGAATTCTTGAAAATGCACTGTAGGCATTGTGACAGTTCACTCACAAGCCTCTCCTAAAAATAGGGCATCCTCTTGTATAACCAGTCTTCATTATCACAGTAAGAAAATTAACAATT